AAAATGAATTTACATGTGGGTGCTCGCTCAATATTTATCTAAATATTTTTACACTTGCCTATATAAATTTATTAATATGGTCAAAGTTAATGGGTGCTTAAGCACCCACAACTTCCTATGTGCATCCGCCACTGCTCGCACATGCCGTTTGAGTTCGGAGACTTCGGAGTCTCTGGTTTTGAGCTCCTCCCTCAGCAGGGCACCTTCCTTCTCAAACTGCACGAATCAAATCCAAGATGTTAAAACACTGAGACCTGGCAAACATTCAGACAGTAGAAAATGGAAACTAGGTAACCTGTTCAACAAGATGAGCCTTCTCGCGCTCATGATGGGTCACCTCAGCCTGAAACCGGGCAAAAGTCTGACTATAAAGCATCTTGGCCTGAAGCCATGAAAAGGACAAGCTAGAAAGACAAGTTAGAACGACAGAGGTCAGAACGGCAAGCAGGATTTACAAAAACTACCTGCTCACAAAGCCTGCTCATCTTACCGAAGACGAGTGGAGTCATCGGTCTCGGGAATTCCCTCGAGAATGGTTGAAGGCCTTTTGAGTGACCTCTGCCTCTAATAGGCACCCCCGCATCTGAAGATTCTTCATTCGGGACATCTTACATTCCCTTAGGGGGTAAGGTCGTTCCCTGAGGGAAATTACTCACGACAACGGCACCAGCAGGGTCAACCAGGACCATCTCCTGTCCATTCGGGGCTTCAGAACTGGGCTCCTCCGAACCACCTACCGAATGCTTCCCAGCTCGAAGGGTACTTCGACCGCCAGCCGACTCGTGGACATCACTCGATACTCCCTCAGTGGCCTCTCCATTCAGAAGTTAGACCACGACAATGTCAAGCTCCGGTTCGGGAGCCTACAGCCTGAGGATCGGTCAGGTTTTCCCCTCCCTCGGGCGCTATCGAGAAGTTGTTTTCCCCCTCGCCTTCGCTCGAGGACTTCCCGCTGCTTCCGGAGTTAGGGCTGCCGGGTCGGCCTTAGTTTCTTCCGCTTTGATCTTCTTGGATTCCGAAGGTTCATTCGACGAATCCCTTTGTCTTTTCTTCCCTTCATCGGGTACCAAAGCACCCTCCTCAGCAAAGCGATGTTCCCTTCATCAGGGGGATCTCCCCCAGACCTATACAAATGCAAGAGGTAAGCATAGGGAGTGAGAGCGCTATCAGTAGCGATTCAGATTGAAAGATACGACTGCAATAGGGGTGAAGGCTCACCATGGTACTTAGCTTCCCATCGATCTTGAGACAGATCACGCCACACTCGTTCAACATATGGGCAAATCGAGTCCATCCGGCCGACCCAGCCTGAGAGGTCCGCAACCGCGCCAGGGTAAATTGTTGCGGCTGCATTAGCAGAAAAAGTTAAGTGCGTGAAAGAATGTGCTTAAAAAAACAAGGGAATGCTAGATAACGTATCCATTTATGTTCCATGTTCCACCCCTCGGGGAACGACATCCTTTCCACCGGGATCAAGCCCGAAGTCCTTACTCGAACAAAGAAGCTCATCCACCCTCCATTCGTGACTTCTTTGATGCAGGCAAAGAGGGCCCTCGGAGCTCGGCAGTGGAGCTTAATCAGACCCCCACGAAAGAGATGGGGGCTGACATCCTGATCAGGTGATCGAGAGCGAAGAGCATTTCCTCAATCATGTTCACATAGTACCTGATCATGTAGACAACGCGCCAGGACGAAGGATGAATTTGGTCGAGGGTCACTTGATACCATTGGCAGAAGTCGAGAATCACGGGATCAATAGAAGCCGAAGATGGCCCCACCGGCCCAAGGGTAAACGGGTAAGCATATACACTGCGAAAACCGGCTTTGAATGTCGTTATATCTTCCTCCCAAGTAGGGATCTCCATAAGCACCGCGTCCCCCCAGCGACAATCAGCTCTCACCCTTCCGACATCTGTTATCGAGCTAATATACTAAGACGCAGGCTCACGGCGCCCCGGCTTCGAAAAAAGTCTCTCGACCTCGAAATCGAAAGGCGTTGCAAAAAATCCTGGAACGCATTCCTCTACACGAGGAGGCATTGCCGCTTTGCCTTTAGATGGAAGCGAAGAGGAGGAGGTTACGTTCTCCTGAGAAGCAGAGGCGAAAGTTTTCGCCATTCCTAAGAGATTCTAGAAGAGAAAGGGAAGTTGCGTTTCGAAGAAAGAACAAAAGTAAAGGTAGAAGGAACCTTTTTTTGGGGCTTAGTAGTGCAGTGAGTTGTAAAGAACGAGAAGAGAAGTATTTATAGAGGTCCCACACGCATGATGGAGGAGGACAAAGGGCAGCCAACTACCATAATCAATGTGAAGGCTTTCAAGGGCTGTGTATGCGTCGTCTTTTGGCACCTTATAACTGCCGTCGTTACGGAAGTGCCAGAGGGGCAAGAATTCAAGGTCGTTTCTTATCACTTTCACTCTAAGAAACGCGGGGACTATCTATATACGGTAAAATCGGAGAGTCCAATTTTCCGTCATTAGGGTGCCTCGTAAACATATTTCACAAGGTTCGAGACTAGGGTCGAGGTTCACCCCTGAGGCTATCGACGCTCGACCTCAGGGCAATGCAGACCAACGACTATGATGGAAAAGTGGGGAGTTCCTAAGGCACATAACTAGAGCTGACAAAGTCTAGTGAGCTAAAATCAGACCCGAATCATGACTTCAACTAGCTGTCTCATCTCCATATCTTTGTAATAAATGCGTTTGTACTATGTGGGGATTCCCCCTCCTATATAAAGGGGATCCTTGTCATTTTGTAAGGATCTGTTGCTCCATACTAAATACACAAGAACATTCTCTCTGCTCTCTAACACATTCTCTTGATTTCATTATATCATTTATTGTTTACATTCATTGTTCATCATTTATTGCTTATTATTGGCCATACAGAGCTGTCATTGATTTTATTCTAACTGTTAGTCGCCCATCGATTACCCCTGATAGCTCCCAGCTGAGCTTCAGACTCGAACCCTAGGCCCCGACTATTAATCAGTCGGTTTGGTTATCACCTTGCTCTTAAACTCCTATCTCGTTTCTAAGTCTCTCACATAGCATCAACATAACTAGCATAAAAATAGATCACGTATTTTTAGAATCCCATAATCAAATTTAATTGTTATTACCATTTTCACGTTAAACAGTTGCATTTGTATATACACAATCAATTAACTCCCTCCGTATCAATTTAGAAGAGATAGTTTGACTCGGCACATAGTTTAAGAAAAAAAGAAGACTTTTGAAACTCGTGGTCTTAAAAGCTTAAGGGGTAAAAGCTTTGTGGGGCCATGACACTTGTGTGGTTATAAAAGCTTCCCATTAAGGGTAAAATGAGTAAAATGAAGAGTTTAAAGTTGAATTATTTCAAAATTTAAAAATGTATCATTTATTTTGGAACAGACTAAAAAGAAAAAGTACCTCATCTAATTCGAAACGGATGGAGTGATAGTTTTGTGCCAAATTTACAGATGAATGGACTCAAGAGTTGGAATCACACAAAGGGTATCTATGCATGCAATTATGATTTATATATATCAATTGATTTTTTTTTATGTTAGTAACTATTAAGTATCTCTATAACTTCTTTGCATGCATACACGATAAAACTGATCTATTAGTCATCTTGACGAAGGCATATGTTGATCGAATTTCTGTACAACTTCTGCAAAATACTATTTTTATTCGAAAATAACTTTTTGATATGTATGCAGCTGTAAAAAGGCGGAAGTTACAATTCATTAAAGATATGACACAAACTTTAAGACATAAAATATTTGTAACCATAGCGGACGTTGCTCATATTCAAATTTAAGCGCCCGCTCTCTCTATATATATATGTTGTTAAATATCACAAACAAGAAAACTATTAAGTTGAATATTTGATTTATTCATTTTGAGCTTGAACTTTTTCCTTTGTAATTTTGTGTAACTCATCACGCTTATTTTAATATTATTTATATCATTTTAAGAAATTTATACTTATATTATTGAATACACGTGTTCAAAAACGGGTATAGTTATTATATTTCGAAGTTTCAATCCAAATATGTAATAGTCCTCAATTCACCACAAGTTAGATAAATATTTTAGCAAGTAAATATCAGTATTCTAGATAGATCAATAAATGATGTTTATATTATCTTTAGCTTTTGATAGTTATAATTTATTAAAATAAAAAATATTAAATTGTATAATTATACATGTGCAATCAAACACAATAATGAAAATTACATGATAAATATTTTACAACAAACAAACAAGTCACAATATACTTTTAACATGGTATAATATTATTCGCTTTGGGGGAAGCGTACACGATTTTCTCCAAAAGGTCTCACATTATTAAGATATCCCTACACCTTATATGTAGACTCCAAATCTTTTCAGCTACTAATGTGGGACATTGTTCTTACACCCAACAATTTCCCCTTCGAACTAAGTTCTATGTGGCTTACTACCCCGATTCATGGGTCTCCCCCTCCAACTAAGTTCCATGTGACCTATTGCCACGATCCACGGATCGATTTTTGAGATTCATAGTGTGCCACCTACATTATTCGAAACCCGCAACTAACTTCTTCTTGTATGCGTTCCGACCCGCACCATTACTTTGTCATCTCCATACTCATCTCACTGGATCTGGGCTTCACTTTGAGGAAACCGGAATTATTTATTTAATAGATTTGACTTCGAAAACATTGATTTTTGATAATTATATTTTATTAAAAATAAAAAATATTAAATTGTGTAATTATAAATGTGCAATCCAACATGATAACGAGAATTACATAATAAATATATTATACAAACAAAAAGTAACTGTAATTATTATACTGTGCAATTCCAATAATCATTATCTGTAGGAATTCTTTTATTAAGTTAACAATTTTTTTTTTTCGTTTCTTTTTCTTCTTCGACTCTATATTTTTTTAAAATTTTGACATTAATCATTTTGTTAAGGAGGTAGTAGTAGTATTTTCTTGTGAATGCTGACGTCATCCTTACATTTGCTTCGGTAAAGCCGGAATTGAAAGGCATAAGAAGCGCCATAATTCCCCAGAGTCCATTAGTGGGAATGGGGAGCGACGAACAAAACGCCATGGCTGAGCAGCAACTTCTGAGCATGGGCTTTCCGCAAGACTTAGCCGCCGAAGCTCTTACGGCAACCGGCGGCGATATCGTTAAAGCTACCGACTGGATTCTCCACAAAGATTCTTGCAATTTCAACCCAAAATCTCTGTCTCCTTCTACTACCGATCAACGCTCGTCCCCTCCTCCATTTCAGCCCAAAATCGATCGCTTCTTTCAATTCCAATCCAAACCCCTAACCTCCACCTATATATCAACCCTTAAACCCACTGTTACTACTAAGGGGTTGGCGACCCATGAAGAAGAAGAAGTAGAAGAAGATTATGAACCCCAACTAACAAAGCGTCCTAAATTAGTAGTAGAATCTGAAAAAGAAAAGAAAAAGAAACCCCCTCACGAACCCTTGTCCGAACGAATGCGACCTCGTACCCTAGACGAGGTTGTTGGTCAAGACCATATTTTGGCGCAAAAATCCCTTCTTCGATCAGCCATCGACTGCGGTCGTCTCCCTTCACTACTCTTGTGGGGTCCACCTGGTACCGGCAAAACCTCCATTGCTCGAGCCATAGTCAACACTTGCTCTGCTCCTGAAAATAATATATACCGGTTTGTCTCCTTGTCGGCAGTCACTTCGGGGGTTAAGGATGTTAGAGATGCTGTTGACGAAGCGAGAAGGCTGAAAAAGAAGAGCAATAAGAGGACTATTTTGTTCATTGATGAAGTTCACAGGTTCAACAAGGCCCAACAAGATTCCTTTTTGCCGGTTATTGAGGACGGCAGTGTTATTTTCATGGGAGCAACTACTGAAAACCCATCATTTCATTTGATTACGCCGTTATTGTCCAGGTGCAGAGTTTTGACTCTCAATCCCTTAAAACCCCAACATATTGCTTCCCTCCTCAGGCGTGCCGTGGCTGATTCTAACAAGGGGCTGTGTTGTTCTATGGGTGAGATGTTGAAAATTAAAGTGAATGATGAGTGTGTAGAGTTTCTTTCAGAAAATTGTGATGGAGATGCTAGGGTGGCATTGAATGCCTTGGAAATCTCAGCTACCACTGCTGCTGCACGGTCGCAAATGGCGAGAGGATCAAACGGGGGGTTAGAGTCTGCAGTTATAACTCTGGATGATGTAAAAGAAGCAACGCAGTGTAAGCATTTGGCTTATGACAGAGCAGGGGATGAACATTATAATCTTATCAGCGCGCTTCACAAATCTATGAGAGGAAGTGACGCTGACGCTTCCATTTATTGGCTGGCGAGAATGTTGGAAGGGGGTGAAGAGCCTCTCTACATAGCCCGCAGGCTGGTCAGGTTTGCTAGTGAAGATGTGGGGTTAGCTGATCCATTGGCTCTTTGCCAGACGGTTGCTTGCTACCAAGCTTGCCATTTTATCGGCATGCCCGAGTGCAATGTTATCCTTGCTCAGTGTGTTGCTTATTTGGCCCTGGCTCCCAAGTCTATTTCTGTCTATAGAGCAATAGGGAAAGCTCAAAAAGTGGTAAGAGAATCAGTTGGACAAAATGAAGGGGTTTCCCTTCATCTTAGGAATGCACCAACTAAGCTAATGAAGGATCTTGGTTATGGGAAGGACTATATTTATCCTCCTGACAATCCGAACTCATCATCCCAGACTTATTTGCCACCATCTCTTCAAGGTTATAAGTTTCTCGACTGGCCAAACGTTGCAGCAAATGATCAATGATGAGGATAACATGACAATGTTATGGCTTTCTGAAAATAGCTTCTTTTGCGGGTTAGCACTGTTTCTTCTCCCTTTTATCTAGTTGTGGGAATTGTTAGTGATCAGGCTAATCTTTAGGAATTTTGCGCCACTCTATTGTCATTTTTTGGGTAACTTTGACTTTTAGCTTTGAGCAATGAGCAGAGGAGGAAAAAACTTCTGGTTTAGAGGGATTGAATGATTCCTTTTTTTGGTTGTAGTTTTGTCAGATTTTATGTGCATCCCCTCTATTTTGTCCTTGCTTTTGGCCACATCTGGAAACAATATATATTACATGGGAGGTTTACTTTTTCCGCTTTTATCTCTATATTTACAAGAAACTTTTCACTTGCTATCTCAAAAAATTATTTTGAATTTTGCCTAGATGGAGATGAATAATTTCTCCGTATTCGTTCTATATGTCCAACAGTCAATCTTTGGGTACCTCGCGGAAGAAATAAGTTAGTTGTGACTGGTTTGAGTGATGCTCAAACTTAGAGCTATTATTTCATTGATGTCATACGATTTAAGACATTTTGGAAGACTGATTACTTGGTAAGTTATATCCTTCTGAATTGCTCTGTTAACCACAAAATTTGTGTGGGTTAATATCATGTCTTTCAGAGCAAGTAATTTGAATTGCTGTTGCTGATTGAAGACATAATAAATTCAGATGGACTAAGGCATTCTGATATATTCTGTCATCTGGTAGAAAAAGATATCAACTTTCACATGTCTTAAGCGAACTATATGTGAGTTGATATTGACTTTGACTATAAATAAGTCAATTGATAATTAACAACTCAATCAAATCTTTCCTAGAGCTGTCTTTTAGGGACTTGTTAGCACTGCATTCCTTTAACTTTAGGAATCTGTTTCTGATTATTATCAATTCCCTGTAAACCAAGCAGTGATATTATCTCTTGTGGTGTTTGTGGAGTTTCTTCTGAACATGCTAGACCAAGTTGGAAAACAGAAACCAAGCACTCGATTTGTTCACTACATATATTCTTATTTGCATCCCCTTCTGTTATTTCTCCACAAAGAGCAAATCCATCAATAATATCCATTATTTTGATCTGGTAATGCCAGTTTGACGAAATAGTGGAGATTCACATTGTCTTCAAGCAGTTTGTCAATGGGCCTTTTTCCAGTGAAAATCTCCAGCAATAGGATCCCATAACTATTCAGTAGTTAGCTTTATCCCAAGCGAGCTGAACTGGTTAAGGTTGCTTTCCCCAGATAAATATGGGAGGAGCTTGGCCAATCCAAAATCACTTGCACTATCATGTGGAAGAATAGTTCAGCATTATGTAACCTCTTCTAGGCTTCAACACAGAGGAGAAGTACAATTCATTAGTAGGCCTCCCATCTATGATGGTTTTTCATCGGCATGAAACCTCTCCCTCTCCCTTGCCATTGCAGCTTGTTTTTTTCAATTTGTATAGCATGTTGTCACAGAGTAAAATAGCCTGTAGAGTAGCACCAGAAAGAATGTCGATCCATAGGCCTTTTCTCCTAAAGATACGTCAGAAAGCTAATGAAGCAGCTGTAGGAATCCCACGAAGGCAAAATGAAGCAAGATTGAATAGGATCCGATATGCTGCCAACCACATCCTCTAGCAACACCTACAATGTGCATAGAGCCACAATTAGTCATACGCCCGTACTTGTCATGTAATTTTAGTGTCGGATACACGAAAAAAACTTCACATATATACATAATATAATTTCCCGGCAAAGGTGATTCAGTTGAACCCCCTTTGTTAAATGTGGCTTCGGCCGCTGGTATTTGTTACCTTTTCTTGTATGTGGAAAAAGTCTAGCCTAAAAGAGTTCCTTGCAAGCTGTCAGTTATGACCAATAGACACAAAAGAGGAACCATATTTGCAAAATAGGCCACAACTTCCTTATCGTTGCTGAAAATGTAGCCAAATATGTTTCTACAAGCAAAGACACTTATGCTTAAAACTATTGTCTCTACGGCTGCAATGAGCATTGCAGAAAGCAGAGATACGCGAGCTCCTTGAGGATTTCCAGCTCCTAATTTGCTTGAAACTTTTGTGCTGAAAGTAAACAGGAGTTCACCATTTGAGAACAAACCACATGAAAGTTGAAGATTGCATCAAATACCCAGACAGACCTTACAGCGCCAGAGAGACCAAATGGAATTGCATAAAGGGTAGAAACGGTGTTCAGGCTGCATCATGGAATGTCACAAGAAATTACTCCCTCTGTTTAAAAAAAAATTGGAGCTATTTCCTTATTAGTTTGTTTCAAAAAGATTGGTCTTATTAGTTCGTTTCCTTAATAAGAAGTATTTATAGCCAAACAAGTGATATGATAGGTTTCAGACCACAAGTTTCAAAAGTTTTACAGCCGCACAAATGCTATGGCTTGTTTAACATCACATATCTAGCCGCACAAATGCTATGGCTTGTTTAACATCACATATCTCAAAAGTCTTCTCTTCTATATTAAAGTTCGTGTCAAGTCGCAATCTTTTTGAAACGGAGGAAGTAGCAACTTGTGGATAAAATTAGTAACAAAACCAATCATTCAAGAGCGAGACTCAGAACATACCATACAGATAGAACCGTCTAGTGGTGGCAAATGGGCGGGTTGGGTCGGATTTGGGGGGTTAAAAATGCGTTGAGCAAAAATGGGTTGGGTCTCAACTCGCCCATATTTCATGCGGTGGGTTAACTCATATTATATAAGTGTAATAGTTTTTCAAGTGTAATTTATATTTTTTCTTTTGCTTAGATTATTTAGTGACGTAAGTTTAACTGGATTATATACTCTTCTTCATTAAGTTTATTCAAATTTGACTATCATATTGTAAACTTAAGTTAATCTTCCACAAAATATGATAATTTTTATTTTAGGAAGAAAATATGCTTAATGCACATCAAGTAATATTACTAATAATATATGACTCGGTGTATTTATATTCTAGAAAGAACAAGGACGCTAACAATAGTAAAAAGTACTTACAATGTTTAGAAGGAAAAAAAAGGAAAAAAAATACTCACATAGTCAACTATAGTGAGAAGAACATATATATGAAGGAAGAGGAGTTGGAATACCTTTATAGCATTTTTAGTTTAAAAAATGATATCACGTATTTTGAGTAAGCAGAAGATGGAAGATAATCCACTAGACTAACCCATATTTTACCCATGAATACCCATATTTTTACAGGTTGAATGTGGGTTGAAGCCCAAATTTTACAACTTAACTATCACTCATCCAACCTACTACAGTATAAGCGGATTGGACGGGTTGACAAAATGTTGTGCTCATTTTGCCAACACTAGCACGGGAGAAATTCAAAAATAGCCAGATTTACAAGTGCTTATTCAAAAATAGCCACAACTTCAAAAGTAATAGAAATTTAGCCACTTTTCATGTAAAGATAAATCTGAATGAAAACACTGTTCAAAATCCAAAAAGTACTCCAACATAATATACGATAGTTCCAGTATACTTATGCTGGAACTCCATTATAATATAATGGAGTTCCAGCATAAGTATACTGGAACTCCAGCATATTATAACGGAGTTCTAGCATAAGTATACTGTAACTCCAGCATAATATGCTGGAGTTCCGGTATAATATATCGGTCCAGTATAATATACTGGAAGTTCATACACAGGTGCTCTAATCTCCAGTATATTATGCTGGAACTTTCCGCGTGTTGGAGTTCCAGCATAATATGTTGGAAGTTCATACACAGGTGCACCGATCTCCAGTATATTATGCTGGACCGGTCCCTGTTGCAGCAAAATAGTGTCTATTTTTCAATGACTTTGCAAACGTTGGCTATTTTTGAATGACCAATCCGAAAACTGGTTAACCCGTGCTATTTTAGCACGGACATAACATTCAATTTCGAGCACGCTATCGTCAAATAGGGCGGAATAATTAGGAGATTTCTTTAGAAAATCCCAAAAAAAAATTATAAAAACAACAATACAAGTAACTTATAGGTCTAGTAGCTCGGTCATAGGATAAAGCCAGCTAAGTCCTGCTTTTATCATTGAAGTGAGTAATTATTTTGTGTAACAAATGCATATGCACGACATATGCATAAAAAAGATGAATACTTTTGAGTTTCTATCCATTTCATTGTAGGATCGATAAATACTTAATTAGAGAGAGAGAGTGAGAGACTGAGAGAGATAATACTTTTGATGTCATGATCACAAGTGTATTATTGTTGTTAGTCAATCTTCCTATCTTCAACAATTTGAAGCATTATGCTGAATTGAGACGTTCATTGAGTGCTCGCACTATTGCTACTTTCCCCATTTTCCTTTTGTCTCATGAAAAAGTTAAAATCCGCTACTATTTGTCACGATCCGAATTTCCCACCGTTGGAACTATGATGACGCCTAACATCACACTCGCTAGGCAAGCCAACGTTTGAGTCCTATTCACCTTTTTTCTTTACATTTTATAAGTTAAGATTAACAAAGCTAAAATCAAACTGAAATAAATGCGGAAGTACATAATAAACCGGATCTAAATACTAGTAACAATACCGAAACTGTTGCTACCCAGAAACCGGTGTCACAATCCATAAACATACTATGAATATCTACAAACAATAGTCTGAAAGGAAGTTACATCTGTTTCGAAAGAAAAGAAAACAGGAATGTAGAAACATAGAAGGGAACGCCAGGGCCTGCGGTCGCCAGCAGGACTACCTTGGGTTTCCTGAGTGAAGTATCTGCAACCGACCTCTCGATCAGCCACAACCAGCTCCGAAATCTGCACAGAAAGTGCAGAGTGCAGTATCAGTACAACCGACCCCATGCACTAGTAAGTGCCGAGCCTAACCTCGACAAGGTAGTGACGAGGCTATGACGGAGCATTTACAATATAACCTGCATACATTATATAATAAAGCAAAAGGAAGTACGGAACGAAATGGAACAGTAACTTGCAGCAAAAACAAATACGAAACTCAATTATCTTGCCAGTACTCAGCTATGACCAATCCTTAAAAGAGTTACAATGCTACAGAATAAAATCACAGCAGAAGAAGAATACATAAACAACAAAAAGATGCGGCGCGCATCCCGATCCCACCATATAATCAGTAAAAATTCTGAACATTCATCCTTATTACTCCTATTGCGGCGTGCAACCCGATCCGACCACTCCACCCTTATTACTCCTCAATATATCACCCTTATTTCTCCTGTTGCGGCGCGAAACCCGATCCCACCAGACAATCACATTTCACCCTTATTCCTCCTGTTGCGGCGTGCAACCCGATCCCACCTGTTACAACCCATATTCATGTACCTT